ACAGAGAAATACCAGAAACACAAGTTGGGTTTAGAAGAGGTCATGGCTTTAGAGACATTATTGCCAAATCAGATGGATCTTGGCAGAAAGCAGAGAGTACCAGAGAAATGTCTGTGTTTCATAGACTATATAAAGGCATTTGACTGTGTGGATCACAACAAATTGATCTTGAGAAGAATGGAAATCCCAGAACACTTGATTGTGCTTATGTGAAACCTATACTTGGACCTGGAAGCAGGCCTCAGAACAGAGCAAGGAAACACTGGATGGTTGAAATTCAGGAAGAGTGCATCAGGGATGAATCCTGTCTCCATGCCTTTACGATCCATATGCAAAACAGATCATTTGGGAGGCTGAGCTTTACGAGGAGAAAAGTGGCATCAGGATTGGAGGAAGACTCATCAACAACTTACATTATGCAGATGACACAACCTTGCTTGCTGGAAGTTAGGAGGATCTGAAGTGCTTGGTGAAGAAGGTCAAGGACTGTAGTCTTCAATATGGATTGAAGGTCTACATGAAAAAGGCAAAGATTCTCACCACTGGGCCAGTTGGCAGCATCATGATAGATAGAGAAGAGATTGAGGTTGTTAATAATTACAACTTGCTCGGCTCCACAATCAGCGCTCTTGGTGCTCTGGGAAAATCTGCTGTCAGGGAACTCTCCTGATGTCAGTCTGGAGACTAAGGTGCGCCTGATCCAGGCCATGGCTTTGCAATAACTTGTAATGCATCAAAAAGCTGGAAAATGACTCAGGATGACAGAAGAAGAATCAGTGCCTTTGACTTGTGGGGCTGGAGAAGAGTCGTGACCACACCATGGACCACCAAGAAAACAAGTAAATCTGTCTCGGAGAGGGTGAAACCAAGTTTTTCCTTAGAGACTAGGATTTTGAAGCTCTGTCTCACATAATTTAAGCACATGGTCAGGAGGGACCTGGCCTTGGAGAAGGACATCATGCTCAGAAGGGTGGACGGACAGGACAGCGCAGGAGAGGAAGTCCCCGGTGAGATGTATTGATACAGTAACTGGACCAATGAGGGTAAGTGTGGTGGAGTCAGTGAGACTGGCTCAGGACAGGCCAGGCTTCAGAGACCTTGTGCATAGGGTCCCTATGAGTCGCAGACGATTCGACGGCATGTAACAACAACTACTTGGTTAAATATCCCCTTATACCCAGTAAATGCCAAGATCGCTGAAGACTCGGACAATGAGTTCATGAAGCTTCTCTCTCCCAAAGTGCCTATGACAGTGTAACCAAGTAGCAAATCAAAACCAAAGTAGTGGTCAGGGAGTCGGTCCAGGGTCAGATCGACCCTAATTGTGTTAGAAGAGAACTGTGTTCCAGTAGGGTTTCAATGGCTTCTTTTGCAGGCAACTTGTAAGCCTCCTGGTTGCCAGATCTTTCTTCTGAGTTACTTCTGGTACATTAGAATTCCCAAACTTTTGGTCAGTGACTGAACAAGAATCACTCTTATCATTCAAGTCATCCTTCCTTATGGTAGGTACTCAGTTATCATTTGAAAACTGAATGTATCATTTTATTCATTTTATGTGACTATGAGATACATACACCTACATATTTGAATACTTATCAATATTGATCTTTATAGATATTAATATTTTAATAATTAGATCTTTTCTTCGTAAATAAGCTTGTAGTTTTTTGAAAATTAATTTTAATGAAAGTTTACAGAGACTTTGGGTTTCCATTCATTCATTGTTGCACTTTTCTTCCTGCCCACCCCTCCCCCATAATTCGCTCTTCTCTTTGAAAAGTAAAAGAAAAATTCCTTCATTGTTATACAATCCCTTCCCCGAAGGTCACTCCACTATGCAGCCTTCATTCTGGACTCCTGTCATGACAATAATACCTAATCATGTGTCCCTTTTAAACACTTTTCTCCCTCATCTGTTTCAATGCAGTATATATTATTTATCCATCTTTCTCAGTCTTCCCCCAACCCCTATGTCAGTCCTCTTTTATAACAGTGGTATTATGCAGTATTTGTCTTTTTGTGACTGAGATATTTCACTCAGCATAATGTCCTCCAGTGTTACCCATTTTGTATAGTATTTCATGAGTTCTTTGTTTTGTTTTGTTTTATTGGGAAAAACATATTGGGGGTACAAGGAGGTGAGGGTGAGTTCTTTGTTTTTCAATGCAGCGTAGTATTCCATTGTGTGAATATATCAGAACTTCTCTATCCATTCGTTTGTTGATGGGCACTTGAGTTGTTTCCAACTCTTTGCTATTGTGATCAAAGCCGCGATAAACATGGGTGTGCATAAGCTTGTGGCTTTTCAAATGTACATTATTTTTGAAAGTCAAAATAAAAAGTGACCAGAGAACACATCTTTTAGATTAATTTTGAACATTTCACTAAATTTATGTCATAGGCAAAAGATAGGCAATCTCCTCCCCTGCAATTTACTGCCTCTGAAAACCTGCTGGAGGGTCAGCTAAGGATCAGGTGTTACTTGATGGTGTCTCACAACAGCAACAACAAATTTATATAGATGTTAACTCTGTGTAGAGAGAGCCCTGGTGGCCTAACGGTAAGACGTTTCAAACCCAAAGGCAGGCAGTTTGAATCTACCAGATGCTCCATGGGAGAAGGATGGACAATCTACTCCCATGGAATTTACGGCCTCTGAAATCCAACCGGAGGGTCAGCTGTGAGTCAGTTCCAATTCGACAGCACACGACAAACTTATATAAAGTTTTCCAAATGATGTTGGTTAAAGGTTTCTTTTTAATTTTTAGTTTTTTAAAAGTTTATACATTTTACTTATAAGATTCGTATACATTGTTTTTCATGCCAGATCTTTTCTTCTTTCCTTTATACACCCTTTCCTCCACTCATCAAATTGTGCAACCCTATGATTAAGCCCCCCTCCCCACCTATCCTTGCTCTTCTATACATGTGTGTCCTTTATAGTCCTAAGTACCAATTTGTTTTACATAAAAAATGTGAAGGGAGTTCTGGTGGCCTAGTGGCAAGAGGCTGCACTGCATCCCAGAGGTATGCAGTTCGAATCCACCAGATGCTCTGCTGGAAAAGGAGGGGCATCTCCTCCTGTACCAGTCAGATCTGATTTGATGGTACACACATAAAAAATAATAAAAACATAAAAATATATAAAATAGTAACAATGAATGACTGGAAACCCTATGTCTCTGTAAACTTTTATTAAAATTAATAAAAAATATTGAGAACAGCCTGTGGTCAGAGGTGGTGAGGGGAGCAGGGCGGCTGCCGCACTTGATCCTCCGGCATCTGGTTGGGAAGGTAGATTCTAAGACCTAATGGGTCACCAGCCGCTGGCACACCAAGAAGCTACCCCGCAAGACCCACAGAGGGCTGCGCCTGGCATCCTGCCCGAGTGGCCTCTCTGTGGCCCGTGCTGGGCAGAAGGGCTACCATCACCGCACGGAGATCAACAAGACAATCTACAAGATTGGCCAAGGCTACCTTGTCAAGGACGGCAAGCTGATCAAGAACAATGCCTCCACTGACTACGATCTCTCAGGCAAGAGCATCAGTCCTCTGGGTGGCTTTGTCCACTATGGTGAAGTGACCAACGACTTTGTTATGCTGGAAGGCTGTGTGGTGGGGACCAAGAAGCGAGTGCTGACTCTCTGCAAGTCCTTGCTGGTGCAGACCAAATGCCGGGCTCTGGAGAAGATTGATCTCAAGTTCATCGACACCACCTCCAAGTTTGGCCATGGCCACTTCCAGACAATGGAGGAGAAGGCGGCCTTCGTGGGACCACTTAAGAAAGACCGCATTGCAAAAGAAGAAGGTACCTAATGTCAGGACTAGATGGAGGGATCCCAATAAAAAATTATTTTCCAGTTGAAAAAAATTAATAAAAAATATATAAAATATGTGATATGAAATAATATGCTTGTAAACCATTTTCTAAGTCCCAAGTTATGCAGGTATTTTTCCTGTTTATTATAAGCACACACCACTATGCTAAGCATTATGTGACTACATGAATACTAGGTGTACATGTATGCATCTTAGAACTCTGTTTAAAACAGTGGTTGTGGATTTGGACATGCTATTAAAAATCTGGAAAATAATAATCCGATCAGAAAGGTATTGACATTAATCGTCATGTAGGTCTCAACTTTGTCCTTCAGTATTAGCAATGTTGAAATATGATCTCTCTAACTGTCTGTATATTATTTATTGTTGTCTTTGAAGAGGATGGTGATGATGGCGGCTACCCTATGTGTATATGTGCATGTGTGTAAAATGGAACTGAAAATGACATTAGAATTCATAGTCATCAATCATTGATGAAGAGAGCTGTTGTTGTTAGGTGCTGTTGAGTTGAGTACAATTCACAGAGACCCTATGAACAACAGATCTATCTGTTACAATCCATTTTATCCTCCCAATCTCTGACACACTCAAGGTCATTGCTGTAGTCACCAGGTCAACCCGCTTGGTCCCTTTCGCTAACCTTCTACCTCTCCAGGTAGGTAGATGTCTCAATCTAGAGAAAAGGCTCCCTCAACAATATGTCCAAAGGATGTGAGACAAAAAGCTTTGTCATCTTTGCCCCCAAGGAGCATTCTGGCTGCACCTTCTCCAAGACATATCTGTTTATTCTTTTGGTAGTCTGTGGGACCTTCAGCATGCCAGATCAGAGGCTTCAATTCTTCTTCTGTTATCCTTAGTCATTGTCCAGCTCTCAGAAGCAAAGCAAGTCACTGAGAAGACCGTGACTTGAATGAGGCACACCTGAGTCCTCAAACTGACACCACTGCTTCTCTGTAATTTGGAGAAAGTCTCTGACTGCAGACTTGCCCGGTGTGTATGTCTCCTGATCTCCTAACTGCTCGTATCAAGTGTATTGATCGTGGATCCAGGTAGGTTGAAGTCGTTGCCTGTCTCAATGCTTTTCCCATCCATCATGATGTTGCCTATCTATCCAGCGGCAAGGATATTTGTTTTCCTGAAGTTGAGATACAATCCGTATCGAGGATTGCAGTGTTCAACCTTCTGCAGCATATGCTTCGAGTCCTCCTCCGTCTCAGCAAGCAAGGTTGTATTATCTGTGCACTGAAGGTTATTGATGAGTCTTCCTCCAAATGTAATACGCTTCTTCATAGGTTTGTTGTTACGTGCTGTTAAGTTGACTATCTCTTGTAGTGCTGCTATGAATAACAGATGTTTTCTTCCTTTTAGATAGTTTGCATACAATGATCCATTTTCATTGTGTTACATTCATGTGCATTGTGTTTCAGACAATCTTTGATTTACATTGTTTTTCAGGCAGAAGTGGCATCCACTTCCTAAGCAACCTGCCTCCAAAAACTCTATGAACGTTGATAAATGTTGATAGTTGGAGAGGGGCTTCAGGCCTGTTGTTCACAGGATCACTATGCATTGTGCTTGAATCAAAGGCCATCAGTTGTTACAATTGATCTATGTCAATTTTTACCCTGTCTTTTCAAGCCCCTATTAAATCTTTCCTATTTCTTCACCCCTCCCCATCAAGCCACTAAACTCTAATATCCTCGTGATTTCCACTCTTCCCTTTTTACAGCCCCTTCCTCCTTTTCCTTTTTTGGACTTTTACACTTTTACACTTCTTACTAGTTAATCCTTCTGTTTTTAAAATAATTGCCTTTTTCAGTGTTTGTCCTATGAGACTGAGTTTGTTCACACAGCAAAGTACCTTCTAGACTTTTCCAAGTTATGTACTATTTTATGAAACTGTTGTTTCTTAGTATTGCATTCCATTGTGTGAATGTACTACAATTTCTCATCTCTTTGCTTTGTTGATAGGCATTTGGGCTATTTCCATTTTCTTGCCATTGCAAATAAATGCTGCTATTAACATAAGTGAACACATTTATGTTAGCATCTCTGTTCTAATTTCCTTGGGGTATGTTCCTAGTAGCAGAGTAGCTGGCTCATCTGAGACATTTTATGTTAACATTTTTGAGGAAACTCCAAACTACCTTCCAGAGTGGTTTTACCATTTTACAATCCCATTAGCAGTGAACAAGAGTGACAGTTTCTCCACAATCTCTCCAAGCTTTATTGTTTGCTGTCCTGTTATAACTTGGCTATTGCTACTGATGTGATGGTATCTCCTTGTGGTTTTTATTTGTGTCTCTCTGATTACCAGTGATTCTGAGCGTTTCTCCACGTGCCTGCTGACCATCTGAAGGTCTTCCTCTGTGAAACGTCTTTTTGTGCCTTTTGCTCATTTGGTTATTGGACTATCAGTCTTTTCCTTGGGGAGGCCATGTAGATTTGAACCTTATCCTATCTGGCTTCATGATCTCTGTCATGCTCAGATCCACTCTGGCAGTCACGAACTCAGTCTATCTCGTTGAGGGTATGCTTCTCTTTCGCCAATCTTCTACCTTTCCCAGCATGAGGTGAGGTCTCTTTCTCTAAGGACTAGTTCCTCCTCAAAATATGCCCAAAGTAAGTGCAATAAAGTGTCACTCTCCTTGCCTCTAAGGAGCACTCTGGTTACACTTCCATAGATTTGCTTGTTCTTTGGCTGCCCCTAGTATAATCAATGCTCTTTGCAAACACCACAGTGCAAAGACATTTATTCTTTTTTCTGCCTTCCTTATTCATCATCCAACTTTCAGATGCTCAAGGAGCAATTGAAAAGACTAAAGCTTTGACTAAGTATACCTTCGTCTTAAAACAGATGTCCTTATTCTTTAGAACTTTGGAGAGATTCTTGATAGCAGATTTCCTCTTTTCAAACAACCTATCTTTTTTTTTTCTTCTATAATTATATTTTATTAATTTTCAAAAACATTTACAGAGTTTGGGTTTCCATTCATTCATTGTTGCACTATTCTCTCTACCCTCCTCCCAGTTTGTTCTTGTCCAAATGCCACAGTGCTTGTCAAAGCCAGTTCTGATTAATCTTCTTTGTCAGTGTGTCCTTTGCCATTCCCTATCACTCCTCCCTGAGAGAGACTTCACCCTGAGTCATAAGGAAAAGGGGATGGCGTATTCTCTTAGCTACTTCCTGCTGAAAAGGGACGCTGTGGGTTTCAGGGTGAAGATCTTCTCTCACTACTCTAAAGGGCCCCTTTGGCAGTAGGAAACACATAGACTATTATGGAGATTGATTTTGGAATTTAGATGCACTCTTATTGATTGTGCTTGGCCGTACATGTTCATATCCTTGAAGATGTATCATGGGGCTGTTGCAACCTAGAAGACACAAATTTGACTAACAAGTTATAAGTACATGAGTCAAAAATTATGGAAAAGTAAAAGATTCTTTCATTGTTTTACAAACCTTCCCCCAGGTCCCCTCCACCATGTAGCCCTCGCTCTAGTCTCCTGTGATGACAGAAATACCTAGTTATATGTCTCTTTTAAACAGTTTTCTCCCTCCTCTGTTTCAGTGCAGTATACATTATTGAACCCATCTTACTCAGTCTCTCCCCAACCCCAAGGACAGTCCCATTCTACAACAGTACAACCTATCTTTTGATTTCTTGACTCCTGCTACTAAAGATATTGATTGTGGATCCAAGTAAAAGAAAACACGACAATTTCAGTCTTTTCTCCATCTCTCATGAAGCTGCCAGTTGACACAGTGGTGAGGAGTTTTGCTTTCTTGTGGTTGAGCTGTAACTCATATTGAAGTCTATAGTCCTTGACCTTCAGTAAATGCTTCAAGTCGTCGTCAATTTCTGCAAGACTGCAGAAATGAGAGTTAGAAGAGGTTAAATCACTCATGCATTGCCATCGAGTTGTGACGGGCTCATAGCTGACCCCCTCCACTGGGTTTCCGAGTTCTTTCTGATGGGGTCAAGCCATCAGGGAAGCATAGAGTGTCCACACTCAAACCCACTGCCCTTGGATTAAAATCGTAGCAACCCTAGAGGACAGAGGACAATAGCCTTATAGTGTTTCCAAGGCGATCAATCTTTATGGAAAAGAACTATCCTATCTTTATCCTACAGGTAGGCTGTGGGCTCAAACTTCCATCCTATGCATGAGCTAACTAAGTTCAGATTTAAACTCTTACCTCAGTACTCAAAAATGCTTTTTTTGGGGGTGGGGGAGGAAACTTTACTGATTAAAAACCCACAAACTCACTGTCATTGATGGCTTGTGGCTCATAACAGCCCTCCATCAGATGTCCAAGGTTGTAAATCTTTGTGGAAGGAAAACTGTCCATTTTCCCCTTAAGATGACACTGGGGAATTCTTTGTGCAAGGTATTTCCTCATACACACTCTGCTACCCTACACTGATTAAAGGAGACAAAATGTATTGGCTTTTTCTCCTCTGAGGATGTCTTGCAAACGGAATTGTTCCTAAATACACCTGTTGGGTCACAGGCAACTCACTAAGTGCACACTTATTTATGCACAAATGACATCATTCATCCGTCTTGGACACTGTAGTGCTCACCCCCTTGCATTCTCAGCGACTGCTAAGGTGTCCCCTGATTTCATCGACCTCTGTGTGCCTTGGATCCTGACCTTTAAGGCTCCCTGGTGCCAGGATGTCTGCAACTGTAAGATCAAAGACCCTGGGGTGGGGGGAATCCATTCTTAACTGAGATGAAGATGGAGTGAGTTATTAGGAACACCAGCTAGCAGCTCTGAAACTCTTGTTCATCTGGAAAATGCCTGAACTGTATCCCAAATATAAACACCAAGCCTTAAAACCTAAACAGAGTGTGAGTCAGACACACAGTTGATACCAAAGCTGGGATTTCCTGTCTGTCAATCCAGAGCCACATTCCATCACAGCCCATTTGCTTTCCAAACAGATTTGATCTGCCTGGCACACAGTAAATGCTCAATAAATATCTGTGTTCTAAGTCAGTGAATAGGGTGGCATGTAATGAAAAATGTAAATGCAACAGAGCTGTGATGATAAGAGCAAAGTATCAAGGGAGACATTGAAAATACCAAAAAGGAGGTTAGATGTTTACGAGTAATTTGTTTCTAACTTCCTGGCAGGCAAAGCAGAAGAGGCAATACAGCGTGCTTCCCTTAGTGATCATGGTGTGAGAGAATACAGAATACTAAAATAAAATCCATTTCCCCCACTTTTCTATCACTGGAGAAATGAGTTGTGTGGGAAATATTTCTACGACACCAAAGTGTCACTTCTGCTGTGAGGACAGATGGAGATTCTGCCTCAGTGTGTAGACAAAGCGACTGTTTGTAACAGTTTTAAGTTCCCCTCCCAAATGGTGGCTGCCCAGACAGGGTTTGTACTCGGAGAGGATAATTCCATTCTGCTTACCATCTCCTGGCTGCCTGCAGCCACTGAGTTGTTTTTTTGTTTTTTTTTTTCTTCACTATCCTCTGCCAGGACCCACGTTTGAAGCTGAACCTCAGAGCATTCTTAAAATATTTTCTAAGCCCTCTCTAGTTACAGATGCCTTTCTACAGCTACTCTTACAAAGCTAGATGGTAGGGTGTTTTCACAATCTACTAAACTTAGCCTGGTTTCTAATCCTCGGCCATGTTATCTCAGGGCGCCCCTTTCAGAATACCTTGTCAAAGACAGGAACTTGAGAAAAAGAAAATCCTTGCTGATGAACTGAGCTGAAGTCTGCAGCACACTACACTCAGTCCTGCCCTCTTAGATCTCTGCTTCGGCTCCATCTCCCCAGCCTTTCTATGCTCTCTAGAATCAAGCTCCAGATTTATCGCCGTCGAGTCGCCTGTGACTCATAGCGACCCTATGTAAAACAATTGTCTACAATAGCATCCCGTTTTTCTACCTGAAGTCTTAATTTCATCTTCTACATGAAATTTGCCAAACAAAGCAAGTGAAGTTGGAGCTCTTTAAATCTACTGTTAATACTGGCATATACTTTTGTGTAGCTCCAGAATTTTAGGATTGAGAGACCATACAAATAATTACTGCTAACTCCTGAATTTTGCAGGTGGGAAAACATAGTCAGACTCAAAAAAGTGAAATGATTTTCTTTTTCAGTCCTTAGCTTGGTAAGTATTTCACCAATTAGACTTCTCTTAAGTTGTTTTTTTTAAGAAGGATTGTTGTTGTTTTTCTTGTATTGGTTATGTTTTGTGAACGGGGCTGGGAGCCTCTATTTCCTAGTTTGGTGTAAAGGAGCTCTCACAGCCTAGTGGATAAAGAATTGCACTGCCAACCCAGAGGCAAGTGGTTCAAATCCACTAGCTGCTGCTCAAAAGAAAAATGGGAATATACCCCAAAGAAACCATAACTGCCATCCAAGTAGATATATACACACCCATTAAAATCATGACTAAAAAGTAAAATAAATTTCATAAGGTAGTTTGATTAGTTGGTTATTTCAAAGGCTCTCTGGGTGGGGGGTACCATGGTTAAAGCACAGATTATCCGGGAGGCTGGGCTCTATGAGGAGAAATGTGGGGTCAAGATTGGTGGAAGATTTATCAACAATCTGTGTTATGCGGATGACACAACCCTGCTTGCTGAAACTGAGGAGGACCTGAAGCACCTGCTGCAGAGTGTCAAGAACTGCAGCCTACAATATGGATTGAGGCTCAATGTCAAGAAGACAAAGATTCTCACCACTGGACCAATTGGCAGCATCAGGATGGATGGTGAAGAGATTGAGATTGTACACAGATTTAGTTTGCTTGGCTCCATAGTCAACAGTCTTGGCACCAGTAGCCAGGAAATTAAAAGGCGCATTGCCATGGGAAAGTCTGCTGTTAGGGACCTCTCCAAAGTGCTGAAGAGCAGTGGTGTCTCTCTGGAGACTAAGGTGCATCTGATACAGGCCATGGTCTTCGCAATTACTTGTTATGCATCAGAGAGTTGGACAATGACCTAGGAGGATAGAAGGAGAATTGATGCCTTTGAGCTGTGGTGCTGGAGAAGAGTAGTGAGAATACCATGGACTGCTAGGAAAACAAACAGATTTGTCCTGGAAAGGGTTAAACCGGATGGCTCCTTGGAGGCAAGGATTCTGAGGCTCTGTCTAACTTACTTTGGACATGTTGCGAGGAGAGACCGGTTCTTAGAGAGGGACATCATGCTTGGGAGGGTGGAGGGACAGCGCAGGAGAGGAAGGCCCTCTATGAGGTGGATTGATTCAGTGACTGGGACTATTGGGATGGGAGTGTCAGAGACAGTGCGATTGGCACAGGACAGAGTGGAGTTTAGGGCTGTTGTACATAGGGTCGCTATGAGTCGCAGGCGACTCAACGGCACATAACAACAACAACAAACCACTAACAAAAAGTTCAGGCTCAACAGCGGCTCCAAAGAAGAAAGGTGTGGCCATACCCCTGTAAAAAGTGCCTGGGATTTAGGGAGATACAAATCAAAACCACCACGAGATGTCATCTCACCCCAATCAGAATAGCAAAACTCAACACAGCAGCAAGCACCAAATGCTGGCGAGGTTGTGGAGAAACTGGAACTCTTATTCACTGTTGTTGGGAGTGCAACCACTGTGGAAGGCAGCATGGCACTTTCTCAAAAAGTTGCAAATAGCAACAGAAATTCCATTTGACCCAGTAATTCCAAAACTAGGAATATACCCCAAAGAAACCATAACTGCCTCCCAAGCAGATATATGCACACTCATGTTTATTGAGGCTTTGTTCACAATAGCAAGGAGTTGGAAACAACCCAAGTGCCCATCAAAAAACTAATGGATAAGGAGCTCTGGTGGCCTAGTGGCAAGAAGCTGTACTGTATTCTCAGAGGTATGAGGTTTGAATCCACCAGATGCTCTGCTGGAGAAGAAGGGACAATCCCCTCCTGTACCTGCCAGATCTGATTTGATGCTACACACACACACACACAAATAAAATTTTAAAAGAAAAAAACCAAAAATGAATGGATAGAGAAACTCTGGTATATTCACACAATGGAATACTACACTGCATTGAAAAACAAGGAACTCATGAATTATTATACAAAATGGGTGACCCTGGAGGACATTATGCTGAGTGAAATATCTCAATCACAAAAGGACAAATACTGCATAGTGCCACAGTTGTAAAACAGGACTGACATCAGGGTTGGAGGGAACCTAAAAAAAAAAAGAGGGGATAAATAATATATACAGCATTGAAACAGATGAGGGACACAACTGTTTAAAAGGCTTATATGATTAGGCATTATTTTCATCACAAAAGTCCAGACTAAGAGCTGCATAGTAAAGTGGACTGAGGGATGGGGTGGGGGTGGGGTTATATAACAATGAAAGATTTTTTTTTTCTTTTCAAAGAGAAAAGCAAACTGGGGGGAGGGGTGGGGAGGGAGGAAAATGTGCAATAATGTTTGAATGGAAATCCAAAGTCTCTGTAAACTTTCATTAAAATATCCATTAAAAAAAAAGAAAAAAAATCACAGTTAAAATCAAATTTATTTTAAAATAGAAAAGAAGGAAAAAGTACCTAGGAAACCTGATAGGTAATTCTCCTTTTTCCTGTAGAGTTATTGTGAGTCAAAATCAGCTCCAAAACAATGGGTTGGTAGTTTTGGTTCATTTTTTAAAAATAACTTTCATTTGTTTACTGTTTTGGTTCATTAAAGTAGAATTGATAACAGTTGAGTTTGTGCTTTAAAATACTCTTACTCTTCCTGATCAGTCTCATCACTGTAACATAAAGTTTATAAACCTTTTCCTTACCTGCCAATTCTGTTAACTGTTTATCCCAGTGGATATGACCGTGTCTATCCACAGAAGGAAATTCCCTCATCCAGGGTGTCAAAGGACCAATGAGGGTTTTGTCTTATGAAATGTAGACTTAGGAAGTAGAACAGTAATTCTGTCTTTGCAGAAACATCTACAAACAGAAAATGTGAGAAATGCTCAGAAGAAAGTAGAGGTCATCTCTGAAAAATACAGGAAGCTTTGATCATTTGATCCTCGCCTAGAGCAGGGTGAAAGGGGAGAGTCTAAAACAAGTCTCATCGGAATACTTAGGTTAAATGACACAGCCTGTACGGACAAGCAGGAGGGCTGCTCCAACAGCAATCAAAACCCCAAGCTGCAGATTTGGTGACTATACAAATAGACCAAGTGTAAGGTAAATTCCCTTTCTGCCTCACAGACTTAACTATAGGAAATGAGTAAGGGATTCTCAAATGAGAGTGATTAGATAGTATAGCCATGTAAACTGAGCAGATAAATTTAAAAAAGCAGAAGCAAGCCAATCATTTGGGGCTTTCAGATTTCTTGTGTATGATTTGAAATTCAGTATTTCTTTCTAAGCTTATTGTTCTTCTTAACCTTAGAACGCCTACACTTTTGACACCTCTTGGAAAGAATGATTCCTTTATAAACACCCATGACCTTTAAGAGAACACCCCCCAGGACAGGGAAGAAAAGGTATGACAACTACACAGCGTTTTCGGACTCATCCCAGGGCAAATGTAGAAAGCCTTCAGAAAAGTGCTAATTTCTCCAGAGAGAGTCTGTTTGTCATCTTAAGGTTTGTCCTCTTGCTGGGTGATGATTTACAGAAGCAGCCCTGATTGTGAGTCCTTTTAAACAGTGTCACGAAGCATCCTTGCTATTATTTTTTTTTCAACAGCCATAAAACCAGTAAACCATTGAGTTGATTCTGATTCATGGAGACCCCAGGCGTGTCAGAGAAGAACAACTGAGCTCTGTATGGTTTGCAATGGTTTATTAAGGGTGGACTCAAACCTCCAACCTTTCAGTTACTTATTCTACCCTAGCAAACCTAGCACTTTCTATAGCAATATTGCTTCTAATGTAGCAATTACAGAAACAAGGATGTCACCTTTCTGAAGCCATAAATTACAGAAACAAGGATGTCACCTTTCTGAAGCCATAAATTAGGTTTTTTAGTGGAAAATTTTTACCTCTCTTCTGTTTTCACCTCTAAGTGAAACTCATTGACATCAGTTTTCCTTCTGTCATCCCTAGTCATTGTCCTGCTTTCTGATGCATAGCAGGTGATTGCAAAGACCATGGCCATTATCAGGTGCGCCTTAGTCTCCAGATTGACATTGTTGCTCTTCAGAACTTTGAAGAGGTCACTGGCAGCAGACTTTACCAATGCAATTTGTCTCTTAATTTCCTTGCTACTGGTACCATGACTAGCACAAATCTGAAGAATTCCGGTAGTAAAAATTCATCCTCAAAATTTGGGGGTTTTGTGTGTGTCTTATTTTTAATTAGAACATATTTTGGATCCATAGATTTTTTTAAAATAAATTTAATTTGTGGAAGTTCCTTCTCTTAATTTCTGCTGAATTGTCTCTGATTTATATCATTCCCATGTAGAGCAGAATAAAACACTTTCCAATTTTGGGGGGCAAAAAAAAAAAGAGAAAGAAAGCAACTCATTGCCGTTGAGTTGGAACCAAGCCCCCGCTTGTCTTCCGGCAGTTTTCTGCTGGGCTGTAAATTGCACAGGAGGAGAAGGACCACCTTTCTCCCTGAGCCACTTGTGGTTTAAAGAGACTGAGAGATGCTGTCTTGGGGTTAGAGGTGCAACTCTGGTGGACAATGCCAACCTGGGTCTCTACTTCAGTGAAAGGGATTTATTATTAATTCTGTACCCAAGCAGACAAAACCAGAGCAATAACAGGGGCTGTTCTCTCTGTCGCATCTGCAGTCACTACTTGATGAGTCTGTCCATGAATATCTAAGAAAAGCCAGTGAAAGAGAAATGGCAGAGGTTGGCGCTCGTGCCACAGACCTTGAGACTTTGGACGAGGGAAGATGGAAGTGAACAGAGACCTGGTTGCACTGACCAGGCACCCAGCTGCTTTCCTGCCTTCGCCTGTATCCCCTCCCCTAATTTAAAAAACATTTGAGGGCCACGTCTGCCACAAACCTCCCGTGACAGGGTGGAGGATATCCGGGGAAAGAAGGAAGGTCTCTGGGAGTAGCCTGAGGCCACGGGGCAGTGGAGACAAGTGTCCGTGAGGGTTCTCCCTCTCGGACTGCTCTTCCTTTAGGTTTTGGGGGCTACTGGGCCCTGCACATAGCCTACCCCCACCCCCACCCCCACTCCACAGCCTAACCCTTTAATCTGGACTAAATTACAAGTTCAGAAATGGACATGGGTGGTGTGATGTAGTGTCCCAGGGTATTAAAGCCCTCTTGTTTCATTCAAGTCTGTAATGGAGTCGTTGGGCAGTACACGGAGCCTTGGAATATATGCCTACCATATCTGGCGGTCAAGTGTGACACTAAACTTCAACTTCCAGCCTGGCTGAAACCTACTTTCTGGCTCCTAATCGCTACACCTCTTGCCCCAGCAAAATCTGTGCTACGTTGACGGCAGCACGTTTAAGTCAATCCTAGAAAGATTTCTGTTTGCTGGGGGTAATAGTAGCGTCAGGAGGTACATTTGGCAGAGGATTCACATTCAGGCATAGTCTCAGTTGTGGGTTTCTGGATTCCCCCCAGAGATGTTCAACGTACTTCCCTAGGGAAAGCCAGCATTGGATTCAAAAGCGGCTTCATTATTCACCAAAAAACGTGTCTCATCGTAAGACCACCTATTATTGGTTTCTGTGACATTTGTATGAGTCAGAAAAAGGCAAACTCAGCCCTCTATCAGATAGCAGGATTTGGAAATCAGAGACAGAGTGGGATTTTAATCCCTAGCTCTTTCTGGTCAGTCTAGAGGATCGTAACTTATGGTTCTGTTTATGTAACAATTTTTTAAAAAAGAAGTAAAATTATTTCATAAAATGGTGCCGTAGCGGATTTGTGATCTACGGAGTTGTGCTGCCAAACCAAAGGCAGATGGAACTGCATTTTGTAAGTGGGGATCTGAGGCGGTATAAACAGTTATCATGCTTGGCTACTAACATAAAAGTGAAACTTCTTAGTCGAGCCAGAGGTGCATAAAAAGTAACGCCTGGTGATCTACTTCTGAGAAATTAGCCCCTGAATCTGTTCTGACTCCCACAGGGTGGCCAGGAGTCAGAGCTGCTGGTTATTTTGTAACTGGTAAAATCTTATTACAGTTTGTATTTTTGTTTTGTTTTGTTTTGTTTTCAAGTGCCTATTGCTTTAGCATTTAAAATATCTCATCATTTCTGTAACTGGATTTTAGCATACCTTCATTTAAAATTTGTCAAGTTACAATGAGTTACCATCTCACCCCCTTAGCAGTGGCAAAGTTTAGCAGGACAGAAGCAATAAATGTTGGAGAGGACTTGGAGAGATGGAAACCCTCATACACTGTTGGTGGGATTGTAAAACAGTACAACCACTCTGGTAGACAGTTTGGCGTTTCCTCAAGAAGTTGAACAGAAAAACTTCCTATGATCTAGCAACTCCACTACAAGGAATATGTCCCAAGGAAAGTGGAAATGAGACACAATTGGAGATTTGTACACCAATGTTCATAGCAGCATTATTCACCATTGCAAGAACATGGAAACAGCCCAAATGTCCAACTACAAACAAATGGATTGAGAAACTATAGTACAATTAACACAATAGAATGCTATGCGGCACTCAGGAGCGATGATTTTGAAAAATACTATGTAACTTGGGAGAGGCTGGAGAGCATTTGCTGTGTGAACTAACACAGTCTCATAAGGACAAATACTGCATGAGTCCATTATTATAAAAATAGAAGGAGAACTATTAAAACATGTATGGGAACTCGAGAAGGAGGGAGCGGAGGGGTGAGGAGAGATAGGATTGAAACCACAAGGCTGCACAGTTTGGTAGTTTGGTAGGAGGTGAAGCAAACAGGCAGGATCTGGGTGAAAAGACATGGTAATGAAGGGCAAGGTCCACTGGTGATTAATTTTATAAAACAGAATGGAATACTATGCTGCATTGAAAAACAAGGAACTCATGCAATATTATTAAAAATGGGTGGCCCTGGAGGACATTATGCTGAGTGAAATATCTCAGTCACAAAAGGACAAATACTGCATGGTGCCACTGTTGTAAAAATGGGACTGACATCGGGGTTGGGGGAAGACTGAGAAAGATGGGTTCAATAATGTCTACTGCATTGAAACAGATGAGGGAGAAAACTGTTTAAAAGGGATATGTGATTAAGTATTTTTGTCATGACAGGAGTCCAGAGCAAAGGCTACATGGTAGAGTGGATCTGGGGGAGGATTTGTAAAACAATGAAAGAATTTTTGTTTTACAAGAGGGTAGTGTACTGGGGGAAGGGTTGAGAGGGAAGAAAAGTGCAACAATGAATAAATGGAAATCCAAAGTCTTTGTAAATTTTTACTGAAATTAATAATAAAAACAAAAAAAGGAGTGTGTGGGAATGATTGTATGAAACAATATGGATGAAGAATTATGTATATCTAAACTTTGTAAGCAAACCAATGAAAAAGTTGTATAAAATAAAATAAGTCACAAAAACCTCATTGCCATCAAGATGATTCCAATGCACTGTGACCCTCTATCAGGTTGGAAATCTTTACTGTAGATGACTGTTCATCGTTCTCTTGGGGATTTGAACTGCCAAAGCTTCCAATAGCAGTGCAGCACACAATGTATTATGACACCAGGCTGCCTTTAAATGGACTATTGAGTCAGAACCGACCACAGCTGACCCTCTGGTGGGCTTTCAGAGACAGTAAGTCACGTGGTAGGAAACTGCCCATCTTTTACCTACAGAGAAGCTGGTGGATTTGAACCAAGTTCTTCTGAGTTGGCAGTGTAACCCTTTATCACTAAGCTACCAGAGTGTCCTTTAAATATACGGTAGCAGTGGTGGTTATTGTCATCAATTGATATCGTCGTTGTTGTTGTGTACCATGGAGCCAGAACCGACCAATAGCTGACCCTCCAGTGGGTTTTCGGAGGCGATAATGACACAGGCTGAGATTGTGCCTGCAGAAACTGGTGGATTTGAACCCCGTGACTTCGGGATTGCAGTGCAGCTTGTTGCCATGAGGTGTTCAGTCAGAATCAACTCAGAGCTGACTCTTCAGTGGGTTTTCAGAGGCTGGAACTTGCACAGGAGGGGATTGACCATGTTTCTCCCACGGAGCTCTGGTGGGTTCGTGTTGTATGTCTTTGGGTTGGCAGTGCAGACTTCTTGTCCCTCTGCCAGCATTGTGAAAAGACGAACGTGGTCTGAGTGTCTTGCTCTTACCCTCTGAGCAGATGGAGCCAGGAAACAGGGAGAAGGGAGGTGGAGTTGAAGCTTGGTCATCTGACACCTTTTTCCCTGCAAACATTGGGCTTACGAAGGCTGCCTGCCATCTCGTATTTTTCCTGCAGAAAATATTGTTGATTCGCTGCGTTGCACGAAAATGATGTCATAGCATGGGGCATTGACTCCATTTCCTGACTTTTAACTCGAGTCTCGTAACCTTTTTTTGGCTGTATGGCACCCAGAGAAAATGAAACACATTGAAATCTAAAGGCCAGCATGCCTCTTACAGGCCTGTGAGGCTCCAGGGTGGGGTTATAACGTCTGCGTGTGTATATTTTAACGATCAAAATACGGCCTCGTTGGGGTGTCACATCCTGGCTATGGTGTGGACCCAGCACCTAGCAGAGTAAATGGAAAAAGGAAATAGTCCTTCATGTCTGCGATTTCTTGGCAAGAGCCCTTCTCTTTCCTCCGTGGGGTTTAATCGGGAGTGACAATGTTAAGTTTCATTAGGATGCCTTGCTTGCTTTTTGTTGCAGTGGTGGTGGTTGCTTTTAAACTGTAAGGCTGAATGATGGTCCCTGAATTGATCTTTTCGATCCTCATGTACCGTATTTGTGTTGCTATGTCTTAGGACTGGTTACAACTCCAGCCTCAATGACATTATTAAACTGTTTCCTGGAATGTCAAGGGCTGAAATTGCCCTGTCAAGAGCAACTCTGTTCTTTCAGGGGTTTCAGAGAGCGAGGGCTCGGGTTGCATTCTTGCTCTGTTATTATAAGTTTTTTCCTTGGCAGGAAACCACTGGGTCTGGGATAATTTGCATACATCCAATGAGAGTGGTCTACTGTTCTGTGGAGGTTTTCAAGATTGTATGACAACACAGTGGAAGAATCTCTTATGGGCAAGAAGGATTTCTCCCCCCTCCCCCTAAGACTCGTTTTAAATCCTTTCCTTCCTCCAAGTTGATGGGTCCACATTCAAAGTGTTATAAGTAATGCAGCCCATTTTCCTGCCTTGGCCTCTGTCACTAGTCCAGTAATATCAACAGCCACACAAAACTGGAAACGGGCTGTTTAAATAAAGGTGCCTTATTCCTTCCGGTCTGGAAGGCGGGCTTTTCTTGGCATGTCATGGTGAAAATTAACCACGTAGTTCTCCCAGGCAAGGGCCTTGGCAAAAGGTCTGTTCCTTTCTTTGTGACTGTGAGTGTAATCAACTGAACCTCATGTATTTCTTGATATCAAAACACAATTTTTAGCAGGTTACTCGTGGAATTCTGCTTAATGTAAAACATTTTGTGATGGCCTGTGTTGCCTGGCACCATAACAGATATGTTGTTGTTGTTGTTAAGTGGTGTCGAGTCGTAGATGACTCATAGTGACCCTGTGAATGAAAGACCTGAACACTTGTATAACTTTCATCATTTTCTCCATGTTCATATGGTTTTCAGAGGCAAGCTATTTCGGAAGTGGATGCCACTCCTGCTTCCAAACTTGTTTTAATTGGGGAGCTCCTCGAAACACTGTCCACCATGGGTCACCATTATCGCATTGGACACATCAGTGTCACAGTGTATAGCATCACAGCAACCACAAGTTACCTCTGTACAGCAAGTGGACAGACCAGTGCTATACCACTTAGAAGAATGTTTGACTCGTGTCATGACAATAATACCTAATCATTTATACTTTTTAAACTGTTCTCGCTCTCATCTGTTTCAATGCAGTACACATAATTTATCTGATCTTTCTCAGTCCAGATCGAAGGCTATACAGTGGAGTGGACTTAGGGGGAGGGATTGTATAACAATGAAAGAATTTTACTTTTCAAAGAGAAGAGTGAACTGGAGGGGACAGGTGGGTAGGAAGAAAAATACAACAATGAATGAATGGAAATCCAAAATCTCTGTAAATTTTCATTAAAAT